GGCCTCTACAGAGTATAATATAAGGCTGACTGGAAAAACAAGGATTCTATATCACACACACAAAAATAAGGCTTTGTTATTTGTTTTTTTTATTCCAGATCTGGCAGACCAGGGACTTGAACCAGAGTCTCCCACATCCATAGGCACACAGACCTGGATGGGACTTCCTGAGTCATCGATTCCAGATCCCCAGCTATCATAAGCAACCCCATCATGTCATCCCATTCATAAAATTGATCAAGCTCCATCTTAAAACTAGCTAGGTTGTTTGCCCCCACTAACCCTATTGAGAGGTAGTCTAGAACCTCACTCCTCTCATGGTTCTATTCTTCTGTTTTCCAACCTAAAGGTACTCATGGTGAATGTATATGAATTTGTCGTTGTGCAAAAACTGTTCTTTAGATTGTCCTTTACCTCCCTCCCCAATATATTTATAAAGAGCAATAATATACCCTTCTCAGCCTTAGTTTTGCTAAAATAAACAAGCCAAGCTCTTTCTTTTAGTCTTCTCTTGTAAGACAGACTCCCCATTCTCCTGATCATCCTGGTACAGCCTTTTTCTGTACCTGTTCCCATTTGAATTCCTCTTTCTTGAACATGGGTGACCAGAACCATACACAGTATTCCAGATGTGGTCTTACCCAGGAGTGCCGCCAGCTTTTCTGCCGCCCTAGGTGGCGGGAGGTCCTGCCCCGAAATGCCGCTCCCCACAGAGGCGGCGGAAGGTCCCGCCGCCGAAATACCGCCGCGGTCGCCGCCCCCCAAATTGTAGCGCCCTAGGCGATCACCTAGGTCGCCTAATGGGTTGCGCTGGCCCTGGTCTTACCAGTGCCTTGTACAAAGGTATTGCTGCTTACCTCTCTCTCTGCTGGAAGTACCTCACCTCACACTTACCTTTTTCACAGCTACATCAATTGGTGATTCAAGATTATTTTCTACAACTAGCTCTTCCTTAATGTCCTCGCTATTTACCAAAACCAAGTCTAAAACAGTATTGCCATCACATTCCAGGTGAGTGTCCTAATGCTAACTAGCTATTGGCTATTCTAGGGTGGATCTCTCTCTCTCCCTGCCACCCCTCCCCATCCTCCCAATCCTGAATCTGAACAACCTTCCTAATGAAATTTTTAAAATTTTGGGCAGTACTAATAAGTTTCCATGGAAAGTTTCAGTTTCAATGAATCGGCATTTCCCAACACAAAAATATTTTACCAAAAAATTCCCAACCAGCTCCACCAACAATGGTAGAGATAACTGCAAGGAAAGGAATCCATATCCAATACTGTTAGTGTAATGTTGGCTCAGTAGTAGTCTGACTGTTTTTCACAATCCTCAAATATAGCCTAGACTATGTGTGATTCTAATTATGTCTACAGCTTCTGTAGAACACTTCTCTTCCACTCTAACTAATCTGGAAATTAAGTGATGCCCTACAGTGCCTGAGAATTGTCTGAATGGAGTACTGTTGATTTTTTTTATTATTATAAAGAATGATCCAAGACACTTAGGGCTTATCTATGCATAGAAGTTGTGCAAGTTTAATTTAAGTTCAAAATCTGATTTAGATAAATTAGCTAAAAAACAAAACTCCGTGGACACCCTTATATTGGTTTAAAACTGGCTATATAGAGTTTAGCTTGTGCCTGTAAATTAAATTTACCACTGCATGCTGAACTGATATAAGCCATGCTTACATTGATCTAAGAGTTCCCACACAGAAAAAGTTATAGTGGTTTAAATAAAACTAGTATAAAAATCACACCTTTAGTTTAACTGATGCAACTTTGCATGTAGAGTACGCCTAACAAAATGATAGAAAATACAACTAACTACTTTGCAAGAAAAAAAAAGGATTTCAAATATTTTTTGGGAAAACTTTAGATCTCATTCAGTTCACTGTATTTCATAAAGATGGAGCTTATTGCAGATCTGCCATTGCCAACAAATAGAAGAAGTGAGGTTCATAATGTCTGCAGACAATGTATAAAATAACTTCAAAATACTCAACTAAACAAAGAAACCAGCCCTTTTGGAAAAGTAATGTCCATTAAAAGTCAGTAAAGTACAAATTTTAACAAAAAAATCTTAACTCATGAAGTCATTGTTACTCAAAAACAGTCTCAAATGTCTGCTAAAATGACCCTTCTCTGATATATTGACCAGATTTGTGTATACAAAGAATACTGCCTCAATAACAGCTATCTTTTTACAGGTACTCAATGTTACTTGATAATGGAATTTACCCTGCAGGACATGAAGCAAAACAGAGGGAATTATAATATTTAGCTCTCATATAGCACTTTTCATCCATAGATCTCAAAGCATTTTAGAAAAGACGTCACATGTGACTATCTCCATATTAAAGGTAAAAAAACTGTAAAACAGCGTTGTGAAACTAAAAGCGAGAAGGGAAATGACTTGCTCAAGATCATATACAGTTGGTCAGTGGCAGAGCTGGGAATAAAACTCAGGTCTCCTGAATTATAGTTCAGTGCTCTATTTGCTAGATCATCCTACCTTCATTGACTCTAGGACTGTATATACATATGGTGAAATCCTGGCTCCATGGAAATCAATAGGAGCTTTGCCACTGACTTCAAAGAAGCAGAATTTCACTTATAGACTGTACAATACTGTACTGATTAATGGGTCAGTAAAATTAGATATAATTGACAGAAAATGTTCTGCTATGATCTTGCTGTGATAGATATCTTTTAATGCCCTATTTTTTATTAAGTGTTTAATGAATATGGTAGAATAAAGTTATAAGGCATCGTCTGGTAAGGCAGTTCATTCCATTTAGACCAATGTTTACATACACCTTTAGGGAAGCAAATAATTCACACAAATTGTTGTTCCCAGGCTTAATTTTTCTAAATGAAAAAAAAAAGTTATTTCTATGCGACATTTATTCTCTCTCTTGGCAGATAAAAAAAAATCTTCAGATGTTCTCTTTAAAGTGCTAAAACAGGGGGGGGGAAATCTCTAACTGAGCATACAGAACCTCATGATATCATTTTTAGATAGTTACCTCTGACAACAGCTGCAATTTTAACTGGGATTTATAGTTTGCTGATACATGTGAAGGGGATGCCATTTGCAGATATTACAGTGTGGACTAATTTCCCAAAGGAAATTGGAATGAGGTGGAAGCCTTGTTGCTTGAGGAATTTTAAGGTAGACTGGCCAAAGCACTCAAAAAATACAGATCTGGGCACAATCCTGAAATGGCAGAGTGATGGAGAGAAGGACCTATAGGTCTCTTCCACGTCTAACTTTTTAGATTTTGTGGGAAATCCCGGTCAAGAAAGGGAAGACTTGCTCAGAGCTCAAATTGGGATGGGTCACAAAGGGTCACCAACCTTGTCCCTTTTTTCTTGAGACAGCCATGTTGTTCTTTACTTTTTTGTTTTAAAGTAAGCTTTGAACTCTCATGGCTATGAAGTGGAAGCAAGTGGGACATCTGACAAGGGGTCTATCCCACATAGCCCAGCAGGACAACCCTATTCATGCACCCTTTCCCTTTCCCGGAGCAGTGAGGGACTAACCTGGTCAGGAGTATGAGCCTGAGACCAGGTGGTTTTCTCTCTGACTCTAACGACTGCTGCTCCTCCCTCTGTGAGCCCTATCTGCAGACTCAGGCAGACATCACTGTATCTTTTAAAGTTTTCAAACTTCTCTTTACAACCTAACGCCTAGAAACCATTTTTCCCCCCCAAGTGAAAACTTAGATTTTGACATCATCACATGGCTCGTGGGGCCAGTCTCTTAGATACACCAAGATTTTTGCCTATGATTCAATCTGGCACTATCCAGGGGTGTATTTGAATGAGATGGAGCCAAGCCAAGGTACCAGTGATCATGTTTTGAAGTCCAGCAAGTCTCAACTAGACTTCTGTTTGGTTTAGGTTTTTAATTTGTTAGAGATGGCAGGTCAGTGTGTGTGGGATGCAAGAACTGAATACAGATATAGGCCACTGGCCCATTGGTCGGTCTGTAAATGGCACTGCTAGCTAATATGCTGGACTCAGGGTTACATACCTGTGCCTCAACTTGCTAAATGAAATACTGGGATAGATGGCATGTAAAAACCACTTCCTACGCTCTGCAAATAGTATCACAGAAAGTTGAGGAAAAAAATGTTCAAGTGTTTGCTGGTGTCATCACTGATATTTTCATATTGACATTTCACCAAAGTGAAGACCACAAACTTTCCTTCCACTGCTCTTGGGTTTCTGTTACAATTCTGTTACAATTACTCTTTAAACCTCCTGTGTTTCAATTAATTAAAAAATAGGATTTGGAAAGTCAAATGTACCAGCCAGACATTATTTAAAATCACTTTTAAAACTGCAAAAATGTACTATTTTTATGGGACCTAATTTCTTGGTTTAGCCTTTAGAAACAATCTCTGGGCTGAGTGAAGTTCTATGGAAGATTTACCCTATCCTAACTGTCTCTCTTTTGTAGTCTCTTCACTCCTAAATAGCTAATTACTCTATCATTCTGTTTCTGAAGAGCTTCTGGGCCAGAGGGACTGATAACCAGGTAGTATGGATCCAAAAGCATGTACCCCCAAACAGTACAATCTATAGTGGTGACAAGAGCTAATTTCATACATGTAGTGAGGTTGCAAGGTCATGAGATATTATTTCCCAATGGAAATGGCTCACTGATGTTGCAACGTGCAATATTCTCTAAAACCCCGTCATTGCTAAACCCTTGTCATGGCAATTAACTAAATTTGTATCACTGCTGTGATGTCTTCCCTCAAAAATTCAGCTCTTCTCCTTTGTGATATATGTTGATCTCCCCTAACGTGAATCCCTGGTAATGTAATTATTTCCTGAAATGGTAGCAAGCAATCTCCAAATGACTATTAGCAGAACAACTGAATCATCCATCAAATTCTGTTACCAAAATGAGAGCCCAAATTTTTCCTAACTTTGTATATATTTGCATTTACCAGCCATTTATAAAATAGCAAAGGTTTCACTTACCTGATTGGATAACCTCTACCACCTTTTCCCAGACTCCATCTGGGAAAGTTATGGAGCATAAATAAAAGCCCATGTCAGCTTCAGTGGTCTTCATGAAGTTTAGGGACTTGTCTCTTGAGGAAGAATTTATAAAACGAACTCTGTCCTTATATTTGTCTTCAATATGCACACCGTACAATGGGTGGGAGACAGCAATGGTTTCTTTGCCAGTTGCAATACTCTTAACCCAGGACATCTGGGTCATGCCATCCGTCTTTGGATAGACGCATTCCAGATTCATATTATTGGTGAGTTTTACAGTTGCATCCACAAATCTTCCTTCCCCTGTGGCTGAAACACATACCCAGCGTTAGTACTAATTGTAGTTTCAAAGTTTAATACAACTAGCTAGCTAACATTCCAAGATCAAGCAAAATATTTTAGAGGTTGAAAAGCCTAGCAGCACAAGAACAAGCCCAGCAAAATCCTTATGGGTGTTATTACTTATAACAGTTAGTTTTTCTGAATGCCTTAAAAATTATTTTAGCCACACAAATACTGATGAATTCTGATTATATCTGTCATGCAAGAAAAAAAGAACATATATTGCTAAAGAAAAAGAAAGCAATCTTACTTTCAGATAACTGGAGAACAACAATAAGGCAGGCAAGATAGTCCATCTCTGAGAACGCTGGAGTAGATTACTATGTGATACAGCTTTATTCAGACTCCCTTCACAATATGCTATTTCCTAATCGACTGTTATCACTGAAGTCTTTACTTTTGAAATGAGACACCTGAAAGAAACAATGTGCTTTTAACTTTCACATAAACAATAGCCCCATCTATAGGCAATCAAGTTCATAGTATAGTTCAGCTATTCACATCAGATTCACTAAATGTCTGTCAAAATTCACTGAAAAAAAAGCTTCCCAATCCCAAGAGATCTTTAAAAATATGGATGATGATGATGAGGTTGATGATGAGGTGATCTAGGGCACTGGCTCCCAACCTTTCCAGACTACTATACCCCATGCAGGAGTCTGATTTTTTTGTGTACCCCCAAGTTTCACCTCACTTAAAAATTACTTGCTTACAAAACCAGACATAAAAATTCCACAGCACACTATTACTGAAATATTGCTTACTTTCTCATTTTTACCATATAATTATAAAATAAATCAATTAGAATATAAATATTGTACTTACATTCAGGGCTGGCTCCAGGCACCAGCACAGTAAGCAGGTGCTTGGGGCTGCCAATGGAAAGAGACAGCACGTCCGGCTGTTTGGCGGCGGGTCCCTCTGTCCCTCTCAGAGGGAAGGACCTGCCACCAAATTGCTGCCGAAGGATGAAGCGGCGGTGGTAGAGCTCTTGCCAAAGTGCCACCGATCGCAGCTCTTTTTTGGGGGGGGCCGCTTGGGGCGGCAAAAATGCTGGAGCTGGCCCTGCTTACATTTCAGTGTATAGTGAATAGAGCAGTATAAAGAAGCATAAAGACTTCACCGGTGCTTTTTATGTAGCCTGTTGTAAAACTCGTCTAGCTATTTCCCTAGTTGATATACCCCTTAGAAGACCTCTGTGTACTCCCTGGGGTTCACATACCACTGGTTGAGAGACACAAAAACTTGACCATAACAGCAAACAGGAGTGGCAAATGGGAGTTTCAGAGTGCATAGCTGTTGATCCTGTGCTTGGAGGTAGATGAACTTGGTGAGTAGTTATTTGCTTCTTGTTAGTGAAGGGTTGAAGCGAAGAGTGAAAATCATTTGCCAGGTAAACTCATGACCAAGTGAACATGAACAGCAAACAGGAGCTTTTGTTCTCAGTATAGCTCTACACTTAATGCTGTGATGTCCAGCAATAGAACCGTGGTTGTGATGAACAATACATGTGCAATGTTTTGTTTCCTACTGGGAGCCACAAGGGTTTTCCTCTGTATGATGTACAAGCTGGTAACTGTGCTGGAAGAAAAGATTTGTAGTCTGGAAGGACAAGTGTACACATCACGGAGCATCAGAGAGGTTGAGGGATTCTTGGACAACCCGATTCAGGAAGCTTCACCACTCCAGATTCAAAAAATAAAGGAATTAGCTGCCAAAGAACCGAGAGTATGGAAACTAGAGAGGAGGTTTGGTAGTTCATAACCACCAGCGGCAAGAGGGCCGGGTAGCTTTCCACATGGCTGGAGGCAGATGAAGGATGGGCAGGCTATGACCAACAGAGAGAAGAGCCCCGTTAGGAATTCCACACAGACAGAAGTACCCAACTGTTATCACGTTCTCAGTGTGGAAACTGTAAAAAATATCTCTGAAGATCCAGCAGGTCAAACAGAATGGAGAGCTGCATAGGACATACTGTGGATGGCTGTACAGCCCAACCTGCAGGGCAATCAAGGCTGCCCATGAAGAGATCCCCAGCCATCCAAGGAAAACAGCCTATCCGTGTTGGGGATTTGGTACTCATAAGAATGGAGAGAACATTCTGCAAGGCACAGGTGGACAACAGGATGATGTGTTGTTTTCCCAGGCATGAGATTTGACTGTAAGACTGGATAGGATCTGAAGTTGGTGGGCAAGAATCCATTGATGATGGTGTATATTGGCACTAATGACACTGCTGCACAAATTCTAGACAACTTCACAATTATAGAATTCGGAAGGATGCTGAAAAAGAAGAATGGTCACATGATCTTCTTGGAAATCCTTCCTATCTGGAAGAGAAGGAAAACAGAAAATAGAAGATTCTGGAAGTGAAATGCTCGCTTGGTAAGTGGTGTCAGACACAGGGTGTGGAACATTGATCCACCTTCTATGGGGGAAGGAGGCTGTACAAGTTGGATGGACTCCATCTCAATAAAAGAATCATAGAATATCAGGGTTGGAAGGGACCTCAGGAGGCCATCTAGTGCAACCTCCTGCTCAAAGCAGGACCAATTCCCAACTAAATCATCTCAGCCAGGGCTTTGTCAAGCCTGACCTTAAAAACCTCTAAGGAAGGAGATTCCACC